TTATTTTATATATGTCACGAAATTATTACATAATATTTATCAAGCTTATTAATAATTTCTTTTAAAACATTGTTTGGAGCGAATATTAGAGCAAAGCATTGATCTTATCATCATTAAATTACCGTGAGAATTAATCGATAAAAGTTATACTTTATAAACAATATTAAAAATGTATATGAAAGAGAAATATTTCGGATTTTTAACTCGAGAGAATAAATCGATACAATAATGATCTTGCGGCAATCGCAATGGCGCCTAACGAATTTCGCTATTAATTGTGCGGCCGGCTAATTTCCTCGGGCGCTTCTGTATGGCGAAAGGAAGAAAAATAACCGCCCGTGTGTGCGTGACGAGACACGATTTCCATACGAAACAGTCTGATGATCTGCCGATATATTTATTGCGGGCAACGTGCGTGTTCACGTTTCGGTCTCCCGCGGCACACAAACCTCGAATGAATCAAATCCGGAGCTAATCTGATTGCATGCCAATCCATTTTTTTTCTGGCTACTATTGTAAAAGAGGATAATTGCCCTATCCGCCGCAATCGAGTGAAACGGCGAAGAGCGGTTCTGATGACAGCGCGCATTTTGCGTATAGCTAGATTTTAGCGGGCGATTTGCCTCTTGTCATTTGTCGCAGCAGCGTTTATACGTCGCGAATTAAACGGCAACGTTGAAGCTTAACGACGCGCTAATGGCCTATCTGCGCGGGTGAGGCATAAACATCGTAAGAATAGGCGCATCAATTTATCTTCGGGACATATTATCATTCTCTCTGCTCGCTTATCGCGAGGAACATCGCTAGAAAGATGCTTGAAAATTCCGTTTGAGATCCATCCCTCGTTGAATACGGAAGGAGCATGTCGAAAGCTAGATTTATATACACTGTCTATCTAAAGTACGCGATATCGATTCCCGGTGCCGCGTATATGCTTTCTGCGTGATTCTTTCATATGCGAAAAGGGTCAGTCGCGTAGAGACGTGGGTGCGACATTCGTGGTGGCGCCCTATTGAGGATGCGTCCTCGCTCGCACACATTTTAAACGCGTGTGCGACGTACAAAGGCGCGGTCGCGAGTCCGTTGTCCCTCCGTTTTTCGTCGCGCTTGATCGAACGGATGCGCGTTGCAACGCAATCACATTTACGCGATAACGCGCATCGAGCAAATGCAACTTTTTCTAAGTGCCCTCTGCAAATAGCGCACGAGGTGTATTACGCTTAATGGATTGAGTAGCCACGGTGTCTTAAGGTCTTAATTAATTTGCAGCTTGCGCGACAGAACCGTTTAATTCATAGGCGTTTTAATTTGTTGAGGCGTTTCTGAGATAATCCTTAATGATTGCGTTATAATACACGTGTCGCTGATCTGTAAAGGATTCGTCAAAGTAGTGTATTGTACTAACGGATTCAGCTCCATCAGAGTTCGATCGATCTTATTTCATACACTGAGAAAAATGTACGATTAAATGTAATCGGATAATCCAATGACTTAATAACAAACGGATATATCCGATGAAAAAATGTAATCGGTCTTTCAATTAAGTTTCATCGGATAAATTTCATCGGTTGTATTCATAATTTGATCGGAAAAATTAACCATCGAAAACGCTGTTTAATTAGTTTGTCCGATGAAAAATTTTGTCAGTGTACAATTTTTACTACACGGGGAGAATTTTCTCTTAAAATTTATCCTGAAAATCACGTAATCGTGGAACAACGCGGCATTTTGAAGAATGTTATGAGAGTAAAATGTATGGTAAAATTTCAAGAAACTCTTGTAAAGTTCTTCAAAATGCACGATTTTCAGGATGGATTTTAAGAAACAAATTAACAAACTACCCGTGGAGATTAAGTTATAAAGTTTAAGATACATACGTTTCGCGTAATAAAATCAGAAATGTGTATCTTTTTTGACAAACTTTACTCGTTATTTCTCAGAAACTAGAGACTCGATCCTTTTGGCCTTCGTTCTATGACCTGCGCGACCTGTGTTCGGACATTTCGCCGATCACAGGACACCAATGTTCTGAATAATATACAAAGTGTTCTATGGTGGCAACAAGGCAGTCTTCATAAATAATTCGGAAACAGTCGAGGACTACGATCGCACGTCTTTCGTTCCAAGTAGCGCGCGGAATATTATGCATTTCGAGATGGACAAAGTGCGAAAGAATACTGATATTAAATTCTGCAGTTCAAGATGTGAAAGTGCAACAACTAGACTCGGAGGGCAGCTAATACGCAATTGCGGTGATGTTAAAATTGTCACACACTTCGTTTCGAGTATTCGTCTGAGAAATTAATATGTCACCGGGGAGCATTTAAAAAATATAATATTACATATTAATTATTTTAGTAATTTAGTGGTAGCGGAGAGAAAAAAACGCTATCGCGGTGTCTTGCCGTTGAAACTATTTTTAACTGTTCGCTTTGAGTCTTCCGTTCGGAATGTAGAGACTAAGGACAGAAGCTCGTTACCAGCAATTGTATTTATCGATTGGCGATGTGCAGCAGCAACATTTGGTCGAAGACCGCGCAGAAAGAAGAAGTTTAAGGGAGAACACGCGACAGGCTGTAATTCCGAGGACAAAACTTGGGCTGTGCGAGTATAGTCGCAACGTAAAAATTAGATGCACAAAGTAGAGGCTTGTTACTGACAATCGCAATTATCGATGCTCACGCAATGCCCTCGTGTGCCGAAACTTTGTCATATGGTCCCCCGCCTTGTCCGGTTAACGCATTATAATCCCTCTTTAGAAAAGTCTCAAGGTGACGAGACAAAGAGATCAATGCGGTATATCGTGTTCCCGAGACTCTATATATTGTCAAGTTAGGACACCAACGGAAGCTACATATATGAAAATAATGCTTGTATGAATCTCCGTTTTACTTTGCAATTGCACGGGGAAAAAAATGACGTTGCATCAACAAGATCAGGGTAATCGAAAGAAAATCGTGGAAACAACTTCAGTGTTAATAAAAGAAAAACATCGGATAATTGTCTCAGTAATCTGGATGTTTAGTTCGATGCTTAAAATTA